CTGAACTAGGGAGCTGATTGAGACACCCCAGAGATCTAGATTGGGTTTATTTTACTTCGTTAATTATTCTGATCTTAAACACAGAAAAACTCCTGCTGAAGCGACTGAGAGACACACTATTATAAAGATGGTGTTTATTAAAGAGGAGAGTGAAGACATGAAGATTGAAGAAGCTTTCAGAGTCAAACATGAAGATACTGAGGAACAAACAGGTCGGTTTTCATTCTCAAAGCTGAACTCAAAAATACAATGAATGCACGTTTGTCTATATTTGTTCTTCATTTAACAAAGGGTTTTTATAATGAACTGCATCATAGACGACTTTAATCAAACTGTTTGAGTGTTTGTGAGTGACACAAATTAGAACTGTTGAAATGACAAAAAAAACGTACTTTATCAGTACATTAGACCACCGAAAGATGGTCTCGGTTCAGTTTGCTTTAAAGGCAAGGTCGTGATTTGGTTCAAAAACATTTTTTGTTATGCTGGTTGAAAGTCTTTTATGTGTATTTATATCATCTGCGGAAGGCATAGGCAGGGTTGGGGAGTAACAGAATACTTGTAACGGCGTTACGTAATCAGGATACAAAAATCTAGTAACTGTAATCCGTTACAGTTACATAAAAAAAACTAAGTGCGTTTCCATTTAGACATTTATTCAGGGCCTGAATTTCATTTTTGAAAATGAATTCCCCTCTTAGGTGACTTTTGTGAGAGGGGATTTTTTTTAATTTGAGGGGTGGAGTGGGAGAATTTTTTAGACATTTTTCGAAAATATATATTTATCTCATCTAAATGTTTGATCATGTACTGCAATTTTGTATTGACAATTGTGCATTTATTGCACAATAGCTTACACACAGCCTGATTTTGTGAGCTGTATGTGAGGCGGCCTTTTACACCAGGTTCACATATACAGGTGCATCTCAATAAATTAGAATGTCGTGGAAAAGTTCATTTATTTCAGTAATTCAACTCAAATTGTGAAACTCGTGTATTAAATAAATTCAATGCACACAGACTGAAGTAGTTTAAGTCTTTGGTTCTTTTAATTGTGATGATTTTGGCTCACATTTAACAAAAACCAATAAAATAAAACCAATAAAAAAAACATTTTTAGTGAAATGTTGGCCTTCTGGAAAGTATGTTCATATACTGTACATGTACTCAATACTTGGTAGGGGCTCATTTTGCTTTAATTACTGCCTCAATTCGCCGTGGCATGGAGGTGATCAGTTTGTGGCACTGCTGAGGTGGTATGGAAGCCCAGGTTTCTTTGACAGTGCACACACTGGCCCAGCTAACCAATCACAGCACACACTGGCCCAGCTAACCAATCACAGCACACACTGGCCCAGCTAACCAATCACAGCACACACTGGCCCAGCTAACCAATCACAGCACATTTCGTATTTCAGAAGGCGTGCCTTCATTTGCTACAGGAAATATGGGAGCCGTTCATGCCAGACTGGGGAGAGAGGTGTTGTAATAATGTAAAATATGTGAAAAATAATGTGTTTTTCGAACAACCTAGTATGAGAGCCTGTTGTTTTTTAAAGTAACGACCAAGCATCACAGACATGATAAATATTTCTATAGAAAGCTTTAAATTAATACTTAACAAAATAAAACAAAGCAAAAACTCTTTCATTATAATCATAATCATATGCCATCTGGTGCTAGCCAGGTGTAGAGACGCCGTTTTGGTTGCTTAAAGCCAGTGTTGGTAATCCACAGCTGGTTCTCATGGCAAAATTGGACTAAACTATCTCCGGCTTAGTTACTCTCGCCCAAGCCACAGCTGCCCATAACATGAGATTCGACATGGCTTCCCACTTTGGTGTTGAAATCTCCAGTCCAATAATATATTTTTTTGGTGTCTGATCCATTGCTTCCTGAACTTCAGCATAGAATTCTTCAATGATAGTTTCATATATTGCTGTTGGATGTTGGAGCATAAACCTGCAAGATGGTGATGTTTAGTGGCTTACCTCGAATTCTGATGGCGATCAGCTGGTCATTAAATGTTTGATAATTTTCCACTGATCTGCTGATAATGAAGGCCACACCATTCCTCCGGACTGTATCTTTTCCTGAGTAATAGATGGTGTGGTCCCCCAACTGGAAAAAGCCCCATCCTATCCAGTGGAGTTTGCTTATCCCCAGAATGTCAATCTTCATTCGGTCCATTTTGTTTTGAACAATCTGTAGCTTTCCAAGGTCCATACCACATACATTCCATGTGCCAATTTTCATTGATTTGGTGCAGCGCAGGCAGTTCTGTTCGATCCTGTTGGTATCAGCAGTTGAGCGTCCCGGAAGTTTTGTCTCAACCACGTCATAAGTAGCTGGTCTACTGGGAGCACATCCTCGCTCTTCTCCAGTTACATTTTGGACACTGTCCAGCCTGGAGGGTCCACTGTCCGATGCCATATTTGAAGACGTAGTTGTTTGCATTTCTTTGAAGTTTTTTGGCCATAATCCGAGGGTAGGTGGCCAGGTCTTTCCCTCAGTCCTCCCTGGGCTCAACCACGAATGGTTGAGACCTTAGCCTACGGTTTAGCCCCGAAGTGTAGTTGATCCCCGTGATCCCCCGTAGTTGATCCCCGACACCATGAAGAGGTTTGGGATGGAACTTTGATGGGGTGGAGAAAGTAGTTACAACAAATTTTGAGACATTCCTTCGTTTTCCTTGACAATTTTTGAGACATGTCCTTAAGAAAATTAAGAGTTAGCAATATTGAAAAGGTGTTCTCAAATTACATGTAGCACCTATTTCAGTAGCTTAATGAGTATAGGATCCAGTTGTATGTTGGTTTTGATGGCACAAAGCAACAGACATCAAGACATATAAACCATTAAACTGGGGTTAACTTTTGTCTTTTTTTTCCTTAGACCTGATGGCACTTAAAGAGGAGAATGAAGGACTGAATGAAATCAAAGAGGAAGATCAATACAAGAATCAGCATGATTTCAAAACTGAAGAAAAATCTTTTAGTTGCTCACAGACTGAAACAACCTCCTTACAGAAAAGGGCGCAAAAGAGAGGAAATAGAAGATATTTCACCTGCCAGCAGTGTGGAGTAAGTTTCACTCAAAAAGGAAGCCTTAATAGGCACATGAGAATTCACAATGGAGAGAAACCTTACTCGTGCCCTCAGTGTAGAAAAACATTTGATCAACACGGAAACCTTAAAGTCCACATGAGAATTCACACAGGAAAGAAACTTTTTACCTGCCAACAGTGTGGAAAGAGCTTCAACCGAAAAGGAAACCTTGATTACCACATGAGAAATCACACTGGAGAGAAACCCTACAAATGCCCTCAGTGTGGAAAGAGTTTCCTTCGAAAAGGACACTTTAAAGAGCACTTAAGAATCCACACTGGAGAAAAACCTTTCACCTGCCAGCAATGTGGAAAGAGTTTCAGCCAAAAAGGACACTTTGAAGGGCACCTAAGAAATCACACTGGAGAGAAACCCTACAAATGCCCCGAGTGTGGAAAAAGTTTTCTTCGAAAAGGACACTTTGAAGAGCACTTAAGAATCCACACTGGAGAGAAACCTTTCACCTGCCAGCAATGTGGAAAGAGTTTCAGCCAAAAAGGACACTTTGAAGGGCATCTAAGAAATCACACTGGAGAGAAACCCTACAAATGCCCCAAGTGTGGAAAGAGTTTCAGCCAAAAAGGACACTTTGAAGAGCACATAAGAATCCACACTGGAGAGAAACCTTTCACCTGCCAGCAATGTGGAAAGAGTTTCAGCCAAAAAGGACACTTTGAAGGGCATCTAAGAAATCACACTGGAGAGAAACCTTTCACCTGCCAGCAATGTGGAAAGAGTTTCAGCCAAAAAGGAAAATATGAAGAGCACATAAGAAATCACACTGGAGAGAAACCCTACACATGCCCCCAGTGTGGAAAGAGTTTCCTTCGAAAAGGACACTTTGAAGAACACTTAAGAATCCACACTGGAGAGAAACCTTTCACCTGCCAGCAATGTGGAAAGAGTTTCATCCAAAAAGGAATCCTAAACAGGCACATGAGAGTTCACACTGGAGAGCAGCCGTTTATGTGAGGTCACAGTGGAATGAGTTTCAGAAATAAAGCAGCCCTCAAGTACCACATGAAGATTCATGTCATCAGTGTGGAAGGAGTTTCACAGACAAGAAACACCTTAAGAATCATGTAATAACTCACACTGGAGAGAAGCCTTCCATGTGCCCTCACTGTAGAAAGACTTTTTAGAGCAAACCTTGAGGTTCACATAAGTGAAAACAGCATTAGAGTGTTGGAGTGGATCTCTGCCATGTATGGGACATTTCAGTTGTGGCAGGAGAAGGGCCAGATTTACTAAATAGGGCAAATTAGAGAGTCAGAAATTCTAAAAAGCATTGATGGGAGCGGAAAGTTCTCTGGTGATCTACTGACACAGCAGCTCATTTCCATAATGACCGACGCAATCTACCAAGAGCAGCGCAAATTACAAATAATGGTGCTTGGATATTCTGATAATGTCTCTCTGTCCTCCGACAGCAACTATTGCAGCATGTCAAGCACAAAATAAGTTAAGACGCTTTTTTGGGACATTAAATTATGGCACAAATACCATGCAAACCACGTTGCGTGATTTATTTAAATATTCTCCTCCCATAAATGTTGTGTCTGAAAGAGAAACTCCTACAAATGCACATGCATTAAGAATTTTTTATGTGTTTTACTGGAGAAATATGTACGATGCAAATAAACTAAATCAAATCAGAAGATCTTCCATATTTTCCCTCTGGTAGCAGAGGAATTGTGGTTAAAAAAACAAACCTAAATCTGTTCGCAAAGACGCCGAAGGACTACTACTTCACTTGAAGAGGGTGAAGGTGATGACAGAGGTGATGATAAAGAGCAGGAGGAAGAAAAAGAGAGGGAAGACAAGGAGGAAGAGGTCCAGCCTAAAGGAGAAAAAAAGGCGTAGTAAGAGAAGATATTCATCTGATCCTGCACAAGCCCAAGACCTTGCCATTCTTGGGGCAATAAATGAAACCCTTAAAGTCCTGACAAAGAAGCACCAGAATCTGCAGCCACCCAAGAATGACAGCATATATGCCTTTTGTCAGTATATAGAGCATCAGTTAAGATCAATAGAAGACCCACACCACCTACAATACATACAATTTGAAATACATCAAATACTGTCCCCTCGCCCTTCTTCAAGCCAGTATGCAGCTCCATATTTACATCCGTTGTAGTCCCTAAATCACAGATCTCCAATCATATTTATTTGTTTATTTTTTGGCGTATCGATTGCCATTCGTATTTTATTTGCAGTAATACCCTGGTTAATTTTCGTAAGGGTAGCGCTGACCCTATTATTGAACTATGTAGCGTTGACCGCACTGGCTTTGTTCAGCACCACCTGACCGGACAGTTCCCATAACGATGCGCATACTTCAAACGAGAAGAACAGAACGGATTCCCGCTTATTCTTTGCAACAAGGTAATTATAAATTGACATATTGATTAAACCAAAGTGGTGAGGATCGGAATGCATACCTTAAGATGTCTTTCTTTGAGAACCTGATAGATGGCTCTACATGTCTCGGGA